GCCTCTGCCTGACAGAGCTCTGAATAAATGCTGATATAATTGTTGATTTGTGTGATTCCTGTCAATCGCATGGTTAGTGTAGAAGAGGTGAAGTACTTTAAGGCAAGAGTGAGTCCTTCTTTGTCTGCGCTGCCATTCCTCAGATCGATGTGCTCTTTGACAACAGACCAAATGAACTCAAACATTGTCCTATTGTTCATTATGCGAAGCTCTTTGTCGGCCACTTTGCACAGGTATTCAATTACAAAAGTGCGCAAAGAGACCAGTTTTTGTTGTATAACATTGGAATTAATCAATGGCTTGAGGTTTGCGATCACAGCAATCATGGCGTGAGCCAGAGATAAGGGCAGTCGTCGTCCTGGCGTTCCCTTTGCGAAACACTCGACGAACAGACCGATGCCGTCCGCGTCACAGAAGTACACGATATTCCTCAACATATATAACGGCAGATCCAGTTCCGTCAGCTCACAGTATGCACTAATCGATTGCACTTCTTTGGGCGACGGCGAGTCTCCACGACTATTCACCGTATGCTTTTGGGCCACATATAACGGGAACGTGATGTGAAATGCCTTAAATGTCATACACATATCATTTTATGATCAATTCTCTTATATAACAAATATAGACAACTATTTTCGTTACCTTTGAGGCTAAATGAAAAAGTCTTTCCCTGTCTTCTGTAGTCCAGTCATTGAAATAGTCTTTAAATGATTTACAATTGGATTCAATACAGTTCTCATCTCCAGTAATGACCAGATGGTTGTCATCGCTCTTGTCGTCTGTGGATTGCTTTGAATCACTTTTGCAAACACTTATATCCAAACTATTATCACAGTTAGAGGGGTGTTGACAGTCGTGGTCATCGGCATCGTGTGAAGGGTCGGGACCGGCATCTAATGAAAGGGATATCACTTTCAACAGATTAACTGTCGTTTGGATTATCGACTGAACCAATTGATTGAAACGATTATAATTTCGCTGATCTTTATAACAACAAATACAATGCCTTTTCATACAAAATATAAATACAAAATTAGTTTAAATCATCAAAAACTTTACAATTATATTGCAATTCAGTCTAAATATCGAATGTATTTTACACTCATTTTACTGCTATTAAGAGTAAAAGTATTTTTATAAAATTAAATGTAATTAAATGGCAAATAATGTGAGACCTTTGAGTCCAAGAGTTGACATAATTTATAATTAAATTCAATTCAGACTTTCCGATCATTTCTTGTGAATTAGACTTCAAATTATTATTATTTGTATTATTATTGCCATTGTTTTGATTCCCAGTATTTGTCGTCTTATTAGTCGTGTCTTTGTTTTCATCTGAAAGTCAAATTCAAACCAATAGACAAGTCATCGAAAACAATACAATTAGACAACAATTAAAAGCAATTTATAATTAGTAAATGAATTTAAGTGAAAACACTTACATTTAGAGATCAAATCAATCATTTCATTACAAATGTCACACATTTTTGTTTATATTGATAAACAATGTAATTGTGTTTATAATTATTTTGTTATTTTAAATAACAATTAATTTGCAAAAACTAATCATTAAAATAATTAAAATAACAAATAATTGGTTTGAAATGAAAACACATTTTCAATGAATGACTGAATGAATGGATTTTTTGTATTTTACTGAACAGTCTTTACAGTAGTTATAGTGTTGTATACAAACAGTGAGTCTCCAAACACCACACCTGTCACAGCCATACACACGACCACATGAATGCACGCCATCACCACTCAAACCACTCGCCCTCTACAGTACTTTGCATAGTATTGTATTTGAAACACTGCAACACAAACAGTGCAATCATTGAATACTATTAATATTGCAATTTGCAAATCAATATTGTATGTAATTATAAATGTATTGATGTATTCATCGATCAATTGTGCCACCAAAAGCACCAAGTTTACATTATGTTCATTAAGTGCCCCTTTTGTGCCTAATACACATACAAAGTACGTAATATTTAATGGACTCACCGTATGATAGCATACATTTGTATATCCCTCGCCCCCTAATTAGAGTAACGCTATATAAGTAAGTAGTATAAGGAATACAGTGTTGATGTCATCGAAAGTATAGCCAATTCTGCATAAATGTTCATAAATTACATGTTTATAATTTTGTGAACAAAGTAGTCTATTTAATTGATCACTGATCATGGTACATTCTCTTTACAGTATATTGCATTGTATAACACACTTTAATTTACATATTCTAAACTAGATTAGATAAACTAGAATAACTATTAATGAATAATAAGAGTTTAACTAAAGTTAAACTTGAAGTTGGGTGTGCTATGAATAATGGTGATTTTCATTCTGGTTATTTTAGTTTAATCGTGAGATTTAATTGTAAAGTGTGTCTGTATTTTATATATCACTACACAAAACATCTCGTTTTGAGTAAAATAAGAACTGTATTGAACATAATTTTACGTAAAATGCTTATACAGTTAGACCCGATTATAAGGAACTTTGTTATAATGACTTCAACTAACTCCGGTTTAGGGAACAAGTTGTCAAAGTATAAAGAGTTTTATATAAGTGTTATATCATAACGATATTATTATTTTTATAGTTAATATTTGAACATTTTTGCTGAATACCAATTGACAATTGTTTGTTTATAACTAAATCGCGATAGTAAACTGATTACGAGGGCTTAACTGTGAGTTGGGTTGGGTGTGAGGTTGGGTTTGGGTTATCACATTACTCTCATTTCGAGTGTGGATAACACAACATGACATATAACTGTACTTTACACAAATAATGAGTGAATTGAAAAGTGAAATATCAGTTAAATAAAATACTATAAATATAAATATAGTAAATGAATGAATAACTTATGAATTGAATATTAATATTGTTATCTGAATTAATAAATGACTCAATTGTTGGCAAATTATGTCAATTTTGAGTGAATATCTCATGAGATAATTGCAAGAAATGCATGACTCGTATGAATGCTGGTCTCAATTACAGATGTTATCATATGTTATACTGTATAACAAATATGTCTATTAATGAAACATTAATTAAATAACAATTACTTTTGATGTGTTTATCGCGTAATGAAGTGTTGAGTTTATCATTTGACTAATGCTCCCGAATTGACACTCAACCCAACCCACACTCCAACCCAAACCCAATAGTGTAATGAGAGTAAAGCTCACACCTATTGTGTTGTACTGTATATTGACATGAAATGTGTTTGGTCAAAGTCTCTCTATAACGAAAGTCAAACGGCAAGTGCCATTCGATAGAGGGCACGAAGATGTACTTCCACATAAATTTTGATCGAATTTGAGCCGGCCAGTTTCGAGATATTCGACTGTTTTTCGAAAATCTTTACATTAGGTCTATGGGAGAAAATGTCCCAGAGCCGCTCTTTTTTTACAACAAAAATGCATGAAAATGTTGTAAAAAAAGAGCGGCTCTGGGACATTTTCTCCCATAGACCTAATGTAAATTTTTTCGAAAAACAAAGTCGAATATCTCGAAACTGGCCGGCTCAAATTCGATCAAAATTTATGTGGAAGTACATCTTCGTGCCCTCTATCGAATGGCACTTGCCGTTTGACTTTCGTTATAGAGAGACTTTGACCAATGTGTTTTAATGAGTGAATTGAAAAGTGAAATATCAATTAAATAAAATACTATAAATATAAATATAGTAAATGAATGAATAACTTATGAATTGAATATTAATATTGTTATCTGAATTAATAAATGACTCAATTGTTGGCAAATTATGTCAATTTTGAGTGAATATCTCATGAGATAATTGCAAGAAATGCATGACTCGTATGAAATTCATTCATACTATGAATGCTGGTCTCAATTACAGATGTTATCATATGTTATACTGTATAACAAATATGTCTATTAATGAAACATTAATTAAATAACAATTACTTTTGATGTGTTTATCGCGTAATGAAGTGTTGAGTGAATAATACGATTGCATTACATATGATATGATATATTGATAGCAAACCATAAATTGAATGCCATTTAATGGCATGTTATCTGTCGATAACAACTATAAGTTGGTTATGGTTTGTGGCGATAGAGTCTAGAGATAAAGTGCCACTCATTTCATCCCATATTATCTCAAAGATAACCACAATCTTTGTCTCCAAAATACATGAAAAGAGTGTCTCATAAACACATAAATAAGAAAATGGCCGAAGATTTAGACGATAATCAAGGCGTGATGGCTGTCCACAAGAATAACCATATGATTAACACTATTGATGACCACTATTATGGAGACAATAGCAATGACTCCGGAGATGAGGGCCATCGCAACGGCAACCCATTGGCTATCAATGAATCCAAACAAAGGCGAAGACAATACCAGCGCTTCCGAACAGATCACAGATTGACTCCGTTTGGAGACAGTCTTGACTACTGTTTATCACAAGAATCCGATGATAATAGTGAATGCATGGCAGCGGCCAATGGGGTCGACCTCTCACTCATGAGGGAATGTGTCAACTGTTCCACTCAGAAGACAAGCCAATGGCGTACTAATGGTAGCGGACATTATCTCTGCAATGCCTGCGGTCTGTACAAGAAGTACAACGGAGAGGACAGACCGCCGGCCAGTCTTGTCGTCAGTCGTAAGAAAAATGTAATTAATTTTGTATTTAATTAATTTAATTGAGAGTAGGGTTTGAGAGAGATTTGCGTGTCTTTGTGTTTCGTGTTTGGATGAATGGCATGAATGGTGTGATGTATTAATGATAATATGTCTGTTATGGTAGTGTTCGGCACCGAAACAGTGTTCAAACTGTGGGACCCTTACGTCGTCGATGTGGAGGCGGACGGCCAACAAAGAGGTGGCCTGTAATGCCTGTGGACTATACTATAAACTGTACGGCAAATACAGACCCATTGAAATGCGCAAAGATGTGGTCTATCCTCGCAATCGCTATTCAAAAATAGCTGTAAATAGCGATCACTTAACGGATGACATTCACAGCTCACACAATACCGATGAGAGTAGTGTTTGTGGACAAGTGGTCGTCGGCGCAGAAAATAGTGATTTTTACAAACCTTTTGTTGCGAAGACAAAGAAAGTTAAACGCAAATTGAAATCTATTATTAATACACGAAATAAACTAAATATTGAGTCCACTGACGACGAGAAACCCATTGATTTCAAACACGTTGTAAGTTTATCATTGATTTGTATTTTAATTTACACATTATATTTGTGACATTTTCTTATAAATTAAATGAATAATAATTTTGTTTTGAAGAGACCATTGCCTTCACAGCCACCGAGTGTTTCACTAATTAGTGAGACCTCATCTGCGGAACCAATTATTTCTTCATTCAGTGATAACCATAAAGAAAGAACTCTATCGACAATCAGCGACTGTTTCCGTCAGTGCGCCAAATGTGGTGCTAATGTTGTCACACAATTTGGTACACATTTTGGTCATTATTTGTGCAATGATTGTGGTATTCCTTCACAACAATTTCATCAATTGGATCAAAACAAGACACAAAGTGATAGCAAAACTGGTGCTAAAAAAGTAATTATTTTGATGATAATAATTGTGATTTGAATGAATAATATGTTATAATTATGATTTGTGTGTCACAGAAGACACGTGAGATGTCGTGTAGTAATTGTGGAGTGAAGAAGTCGAGTGAATGGAGACGTAATGGTTCGGGTGATCCGGTGTGTAATGCTTGTGGTCTGTACTTTAAATTGCATCTCAAGAACCGTCCGATTCATATGAGACGCGATTTCATAACACATCGCAAGCGAAACGCTGTGACACATGTCGTGCCTATGAATCACTCAATTAGTGATTTAAATATGATTCCGAATGATTGTAATCGCAATAATTATACTAATTGTAATACAAATGCCAAAAATATGTCCATTTCTAATACAAATGATAATCATTTGATAATTGAAAGCAATAATTATATGTCGACTGAGTCTTCATCTAAAAAGAGAAAACAAAGTAATCCTAAAAAGTTAGTCATTCCTGAAAGTTATTTATGAATTTGTTTGAAATACAGGCACTTTTGGTGAACAAAATCATTGTTTAATAAATTGTTAAAATATATAAATAATTTTATTTGATATTCATTTTATAATACTTTTGATATTCTTTTGATATAAATTGATTTTATATTCGTTTGTAACTGAAAATTGAATTTTTATTACACAATAATATTTGAAAGAATTTCTGATATATTTGCTATTAAATTAATAGCAAATTAATAATTTATAACTATTTTGTTCTAATTCTAATAACATTCTAATTTTATATAACTAATATTAATTTTGAATACTTTTATGTATCAAATTGTCTTATTATGTAATTAATTTATCAAATTGTACTCTTTTCACAATATTTTTGTATTCTTTTATATTAGCCACTCTATTACCTAACTTAATTACCTTAATTAGTAATATTCATTCAATCAAAATCATTAAACATTGACAAAATATTAAAGTCATAAATGAATCCAATTTCTTACGCTCAGCACTACTACCGACACAATTGGTGCAGAGGTTGTGAGCAATTATAAGCAAATGATTCAATCGGTTGGTATGGCATACAGTATAGCAAAGGAAAAACTTTGATTCTATACTTTCAATAGTATTAAATGCCTTAAGTCTATGATATGAATAATGCTAACTCACGAGTCAGTGGAATTAGTTCTAAATCTATGGACAATGATAAATCTATGGGACTAATACTAATCTTATGGATAATGTTGATCGTATGGGACTAATGCTATTCCTATGGATAATGTTGATCGTATGGGACTAATGCTAATCTTATGGACAATGTTGAGTCTATGGCAATGCTAATCCTATGAACAGTGTTCAGTGTTATGATGCGTTATAATGACCATCAGTCATTAGATCTATGGGACTAATGATAATTCCATGGATAATGTTGATCATATGGGATGCATGTATGTTAACTCTATGGAATTAGTGCTAAATCTATGGGACTAATGCTAATCTTATGGATAAAATGAAGTCTATGATATAGGGTTAACATGGATAATGCTAAGTCTGCGTCAATGCTAAACTATTGTCGGATAAACACTAGTGAATCCCATAAACCAAATAATAACTTCAAAGACATCTGTTATAAAAATATTCATTTTTGATTTTTTATAAAATATTTTGAACTAAAAATTTAAGTTTTTATAAATAATTCCGACACACATTTGAAAATTTTTAAGGCAAATACCAGTTATTCGATCTTTATGAAACTTGGTTTCTGGTGCCCAAGAATTTAAACTTAAATTATAAAATTACTTTTACTATTCTAACTACATTAGAAGTACCTTAAGACTAACGGTATATAAAGTTTATATCAAATATACCAATATATTACAGGGAATTATGTTATAATTCAATATTTTATATAAAATAATTGCTACAACTTTGATATGGGTTTTATTACGAATTTTTACTTTCATATCTCATTTATTTAAATATTTTTATCATTAATTATATGATAAAATTTTATTGATATAAATCATATAATGATTGCCATAATAGCACATCTATGAACTATAAAGTATAGCAATATATTAGTTAACAAAATTAAACATGACGCTTTATGGGGGTAAATTTAAAATTGTTTTATTTGTAATTTAATTAACTTTAATAAATTCTCTACTCTCCATAACAATAATCAACAATCCCTTATTCTNCATGACGCTTTATGGGGGTAAATTTAAAATTGTTTTATTTGTAATTTAATTAACTTTAATAAATTCTCTACTCTCCATAACAATAATCAACAATCCCTTATTCTTCCATAAATTTTTCAATTTTTTATTTCAAATATTAACTCGATTTTTAGGCAAAAAACTTAGACACAATGAATTTGAGGGGGTCAACAACTTTTAATACCATTTCTCACACAGACAATAGAAGTAGTAGGAATCGACAATAATCTGTAAAGGGTACATCGGGGCAGATGATAGTGTGGTTATGGATTTTATATCTTATGCTGTTAAACTTCTAATGTAGTATCATTTTTAAAAACATTTTTTGTGTTGATTTTTTCAGCACAAAGATTGTCTAAAATTCAATTTTCTTGACCTTTAGCTTCTCCATATTACATGAAAGTGATCCAAAATAGTATATTCACTGCAACTTTATTTCATGAACATATTTCAGTCGACATATATGGGATAAGAATCTTGATCAAATGGTGGCCACTAACTTTGTGCGGCCAACTTCGGTTGGGTATCAAAGCAAAGGCCACGAGTGCGGCAACTTTTTGATCACCCCAATCAGTGATATTCACCCATAGAATTGTTATGGTATATTGTTTATATTTTTAGGGCAACACCTTTGGATAATACAAGATTTTCAAATTTTTGTAAAATAAATATCGAAAATTGACCATGTTCGGGGGTTTACTGGTCATCAATGGGAAATGATATAAAATAATTGTCCATGACAAAATAACCTACACTCATTCTATTTTTGTGCAAAAAATAATTTGGCATAAAAAGCACATGTTTTATTGTTACTGGTCATCAATGGGAAATGATATAAAATAATTGTCCATGACAAAATAACCTACACTCATTCTATTTTTGTGCAAAAAATAATTTGGCATAAAAAGCACACGTTTTATTGTGAAAATATTAATTTTAAAATAGACCTATTAATACGTCATGACTTCTTTTGGGGACTAATATATGACAATAAAAACATGATAACAAAATTGACAAACATATTCATATTTAAATGTTTTGCCGACAATTTGAAAATAAATTGATATTTCTTGTAAATAAATAATAAGCAATAGTATGTGCAATAATAAACAATATGTGCCCTTCTTTTGGGGAAACTTCTCCTCATAAGAAACGGATTTGAAATATATTTTGGATTTCCTATACTTATAACCGAAACTCCCTTTGGAGAAACTCTCTCTATAAGAAACACTTTGGCTAATTTATGCGTCTTCCCGTTTCCTATGGAGAGGTTGCATTGTATAACTAGAATCACTCAAATTCAGTGTTTGTAAACTTAAAAATTATTGAAATAAAAACACAAAATTAATATTGTGTCGAGTATTGGAAAGCCGTCGAAAAATGAATATTACTGTATATCTAGGATATTGTTAAACATATTGTCTGTTTGATTATTACAAGAAAACCGCATTGAATCCGAAATTAATGATTAATGATTTGATATATCGTTAGTAGTTGTAATGGTCGTGCTTCCCTATCTTTAACCTTGATCTATTATGATAATGAGTGACTAAAACACAACACTTGAACTTTATATTGCATAAGAGTGTTGTTTATGTAATGTAATCATAAGATAAGAAGCGTTCGATGTCCATATGAGATAAAAACAACACTCTTATGTAATACAAAGTTCAAGTATTGTGTTTTATCGGGGAAAACCTGTAATCAATACCCAATAATATGCAATTTGATAAGCGTAGAGCAAATCGAAGAGAAGGTATCGGCCTATACTTTAGATTCACAATTAGATAATTGCACACAATTTTTGAAAAACAACACATAATTCATTTCTTATTTAACGTTCATTGTCGACACTTTGATCAACACATCATTCATTCCAACACCACATCAGCGTCTCATCAATGGTTCCGCCGGTGACTACATCACATGTGAACATCAGTAGTGGTGATTGTGAGTGAAGTGAAGTGTGAAGTCTCGCTATGGACTACAGTGTCGAGGCATTGAAGACAACGCTCTCACCGTTAACAGTGAACCTGTGTGTGTGTGCTAGTGATTGTGTGTTTGTGTGTGTGTAATATTTAATAAATTATATTTAATTAAAATTTTTTAAAAAAGTTATTTGATTTTTAAATTTGTTTTTACACAAAGTATAGCAAATATGCGTCTAAGTGATACGGTGTCTACCAAGTACTGAATCAGTGTATGAAGTGTATACGCTTACGGTATAGGGTACCAAAGTCTGTGATGTCTGTGAGGTATATGGTGTATAGTATACCTACGCATACGGTGTATAAGCCAACAAAAGCTAATGGTTAATACGGTATAGCGTACACATCACCGGTGCATACAGTGTACGCTATAATGGTACTAACGGCCTAACAAAGCTAAAGTCCCGTGCGGTCAACAATGAACAGCACAGGTATAAAATACACACAGTGTACGGTATACTGATATATACTTGGTAAGGCATAACCCATATCCATTTCGGTTTACAGGGTGCACGAAACTACTGGAAAGCAAGACTATAACATATGCAAGGGTAATCTGTCAACCACCAAAAGTGTGTGATTTTAAAATACATATTTCAAAAGCTTTATTGTGAACATGAATAGCGACGTCGGCACGAGTAACACTGTTTTCGATACGGATGACGATGGTATGTATGATAATAAAAACTTTATAGACCAGCATAGCTGGGCAGACTATGATTTCAGTCCAACCGTATCGAAAGCAAACGAACCAATATCTACGGATCGAAAGGCTGGCATGAATGTTGTCAATTTAATTCGTCATAACGCAAAGGTCGATGGTATGGTTGGAGATACAAATTGCTTTGATAGACAATGTGACTCATCGAGCGATTGGTCGGCGTCAGACTTTACTGGCTCAGACTCAATGAGTGAAGATAGTATATCATTATCTGGAAGTGAGACCGCATCAAGCGAAATGAGTGACTCTGACTCATTAATTAACGATCCACGATTAAGTCACATGCGCTCGCTGTTGGTCGATAGCAATGACTCCAATGGTAGTGATGCTGATGATGAACAAAATGAGTCAGACTAATGATCAAAGTTTAACAATAATATGTTTATTACGCAATCATAAAGTATATATATATTATATTAATGTATTTTATAATAAAAACTTATATATTACACTATACTCTATACTTTGTATTGATATTTAGAAATTTTATCCTAAAACAAATTCAATGCTAATAAACTTTAAATTAATTCAATTGCGCATGACATTAATTTGGTATATAAAGACATGTGGTAATTATAAAAAATTTATACAATTGTCCTAACAATGAGTGCACAACAAGTAAAGTGGGACGATAGTTTACAAGTGGTGTTGCCGTCATCGTTGGAATTGTCCGACAATCGATTGCTAAATGTGGCAATTTCGCAGGGCAGTGGCATGTCCAACAAAAATGAAAATAAAAAGTTGCTGCAGTATAAAATGGCGCGTGTTTCGTTTAACTTCAAGGGCTACTCGACGCGATACACTTTAGAGGAGATAGAGTTCTTCTTCTCGTGCATATCGACCAAGACGTCAAACGAATCGCAAATGATGGCGTATACGACGAAAACGATGAACCCTCGTGTGATAAAGTACATAAGCAGCGACAGAGACCATGAATTCATTTACACTGAAAATGGAAAGGTATTTGGTGTGAGTTTATCGGAGAACGAGTCTATCGATTTAGGTAAACTCAAAAATATCGTTGTGTTTCTGTTGAAACATCAAAAAGAGAAACAGGAAGCAATCGAAGAGGCGCTATTTGGAACTGTTGTTATCACTGTGGCGAGCAATGTTGCACAACAGATCAAAGAGAAGTGTCCGGCGTGCAACGATTCGAACGGGTCTGAGGCAAAAGGGGGACACTTTTGCGGCCAATATCTAAAACAGATGGCAGAGGCGAGTGAATTTATACAATCTGCGTTGGATGACAATACTGTGCAACAGAAAATCAAGCACCGTGTGAGAGATCTAATGGAATTGTTGTTCATCTCCGGATCAGAGTTTAGTCGATATATGTCGTGGACGTTGGAGACATCTACTAAAGATTTGGAGAAAGTGGCAGCAGAAATTTACGCCTTTATTGACATGAATGGTGGCGCTGGAAAACTCGTTCATCGATTTTGGACTGATTACGAAGCTCTCAATAGCAACACTTTATTTTA